CCAGTTTTGGGGAGGCTGAAGTCCAAGATCAAGCTATTGGAGGGCTCCTTCTAAGGACTGTGAGGTGTTCTGGGACCCCCTGGTTTATGGAGGGCTGTCTCATGTGTCTCCCGGCCATCCCCCCTCTCTGGGTGTCTGTGACCAAATTTCCTCTTTTGATACAGACACCAGTCATGTTGGTTAAGGACCCCCTCGAATGACCTCACTGCACCTGATGACCTCTAGGGACAATGCCTCCAAATAAGACCACACCTGCAGGTATGGGGGCGAAGAAATCACGTAAAGTTTTAGAAGAAGTGTGAACCTACCCCCTGAATCACACACAGCGCTGTGAGCCAATGTTTCCTCAATTAAAAGAAAAACAAAAGCCAAAGTATAAGTTTCGGGGGAGGGGCACAATTCACCCATAATAATAGGCTTTAAAGAAATCTAAAGCATTTTACTAAAGGATAATTTTCTCAGGATAATTTAGTCATGATATTCCAAAGGAACTCTATTCATTTTTCTTTCCATGGAGAGAAGATATTTCGCTTTGTGATTTCCCTATATCTTGCTTCAAAGGACTTATGAGGGCAGTTCGATGAGTAAATATTATATATAGAAACAGGCAAAAGCAACGTGATTCTTTTGAAATTAATTTCTGCCTAAGTTTATGTTACGGTGCGTCCAGGTGAGCCCGTGCAGGTAAGCTGTGCAGGTGAGCCCAGGACGGCACCTGTGGCATCCGCAGAGGGTGCCGGTGGTCACTTGGTATAGAAGAGAATTGGCGCCGACATATCAGTAAGACCAAAATGGGAAAGAGTCAGGGAAGTGTCTAGATCTGATTCTGAGTGTGACATGCTTGCTGCAGTAGAACCCGGGTGTTTAAACGCTGGGCGCGGGGTGGGGAGGGCTGGCAAAGCTCATTCTCTGTTCAGGTCCACACGGGTGTGGAAAGAGCCTCACGTCAGTCTTTTCCACGTAGGCTCAGACTATCTCCTGACCCCCAAACGGTCCTTTTAGTCCAACGTCCGCAGAGGCTGCTCCCTTTGTCAATGCTGCATTTTCTTCCCAGGTGAGGATCTCAAGAAAATAACCCTTTAAGCAAACTTGGTAGGATGGAAAAACTAAACAGCCACAAACCTTAAAAACAAAAACCAGCTACCCTTCTGGTTTCACCCCAGGTGAAGTTCATTTAAAGACCATTTTTTCAAAGATGAAGAAGGGGACTCACTTTGTCCCTGAAATGTTCTTTCAGAAAGATGGCTGAAGTTTTACAGAATTAATTTTCAGGTGTTGGAGTGACAAATCTTTACAAAACCATTGTTCCAGAAACCTTCGCCACTCCCTGTCGCTAGGAGGCCAACCCCCTTCCAATCAGGGCCTCGGAATCATGATTGGCCACCTGAAGAGGCCAGCGAGCCAGAGCTGGGGGAGGCGGTGGGGGGCCTGGCAAGGGGGTAGGGAGCCTCAGGTGGAATTTTTCCAGCCCTTAGAAATGTCTCACAAGGTTTAATTCAAGACTAAAGATCTAGTAGGGTCCCCTGGCCCTTCTATACAAAGGAGAATGCCATCCTTCAATTTCAGGAACTATATTGGCAAAGTAAAATGATGTGTTTTACTTACTGAACCCTTTCCCATCCCCCAGTCAGCCCGACCTGATATCTCCTTTTAAGTTTACTTGGGTTCTTGGGAAAGGTTTGGCACTCTCAGAATCAGAACTGGAAAACGTCACTCGTCCCCATTTGGGTAGATTTACGGTGCCACTGCCAACTCTCTTTAATACCACAAAATTGTGTTAACTCAACTACACATGTTACTCTGGTTCTCTGTGTAGCTTCTATTGCCATGTGTCCCCTCAAAAGGTATGTCAGAATCCTCACCCCCTGCACCTGTGACACTGACCTTACTCGGAAAGAGGGTCTATGCAGTTGTTGTCAAGTTAAGGAGAGGCCATTAAGGGGAGTCCTGATCCAATGTGGTCCGTGTCTTTTTTTTTTTTCTTTTTAAGATTTATTTATTTATGCATACAAGAGCTGGGGTACAGGCCATAGGTGTGGGGGAAGAGAGGATTCACCAGAGACAGAGTGGGAAACAGAACAGGCAGACTGACTGAAATACACTACTAAAGGGAGCAGCGGACGAGTCAGGAGAGGTCTGCTGCACCATGTGGGTAGCTCCCTGGCCTGGGATCGAATTCGTGCTGCAGTGGCTGCAGGATAGCTTCATAGTGCTGCGTCTTAACTCCCTTGTGCCACCAGGGAGGCCCCTGATTGGTGTCTTCTAAGAAGAGAAGAAAACAGGGAGAGAAGCTTCTGTGGCAGAGGTGGAAACTTGAGAGAGGTGGCTGCGAGCCAAGAAGTGGCAGGAGGCCAGGGAGAGGCCAGGAAGGAGTGGACCCAGAGGCTCCGTGGGGGCCTGGCCCTGCCGCCACTCCACGGTACACCTCTCACCTCCAGAGGGTGGAAGAATTGAAGCACCCACTTACAGTGCTTTGTTACAGTAGTCAGCACACTCAGCCACTCTGTCATGGCATTCAGGATGTATTTCATTGAAAAAAACACATGTAAACTCAAGCTCTGATAAAGTATTTATGACCATCACCATCCCCCACACCCGTCCCCCATCCCCGAGGCGTGGCAGCTTGCCCTCACCGCCTGTCTCTGCGGCTCTCGGTTGACAAGCAATAGAAGCATCCTCAGCACCCCAGCCCCCACATAGTCATTCTAGTCCCCACAGGGGCACCAGCCACTTTCCTTTTAATGTGAATATATTTGTCGTGACCCACGTCTGACTTCCAACCACAGAGTTCTAAGGGAGGCGCGTGAAGACGCATTCTGCCTCGCTGGCGGCCTCAACAGTGAAGGAGTCGGGGTGGCGTCTTGAGCACCTGCCCTTTCTGCACCTCACCTTCTCGCTGTGTTAGACAAAGATCCCAGCGCCAGGGACCCCATCTGCTTCTGCTCTCAGGGCAACACCTGTTTGCTGCAGTTTGTGCCCAGGTTTATGAACTTCTTAGAACGTTCTGCTCAAAGCCTGCATCTACCTGCAAAGGTGTCCTATGAGGATCAGTGACACCTGGGGGGCAGGTGCATGGACCCTGTGCCCTGGTTCTCTTCAAGCACAAGACTTGCTCCAGCCTCCTCTGGAAGCACAGAACAGAGCCTTCTTACTTGACTGAAACAGCAACGGCTGTTTACAACAGTAACGTACTAGATTACAGCGCCTGTGTTCCTTGGAGAATGCTTTCATTACTCCGGGTTGCCTTGAAGTGACATCTGAGGAAATGCAATTAGCCATCACTTTGGGAAAGGTAGAGGAAGCCCCACCCCCACAGTGCAGGGGGAGGGGAAGGCCAGGAAGAGACCCTGGAGGAGAAGCTGGAGGAACCGGGGAGGCAGGCAGGGATCCTGGGAGGGGTGAGGCAGGGCAGGAGGAAAAGGAAAAGAGAGAAGATGGCAAAGAAGTGAAAACATGCGAGCGAAGCTGTATTGGGAGCACACTCGGAATAACCAAGTGACCCGGTGATGTGCTTTGCAGACCATGAAAATGCACCTCAGTCTTACAGTGTGTGAGGAGGTGTCTGTGTGTGGATGTGGACGTGAGCTGGGGGGGTGGAAATGCCTTCTCAGTGTGAGCAGAGGCCCCGTCCTGAGTTGTGCAAACTCAAGTGGCTGGTCGGTTTGTTGTGGGGACACTTTCACACCGTGATTCACTGTCATCAAACCAGTCCTGGTGTTACTCCCCAACAGCTCCAGTGCCAATGATGCAGGCTCCGCAGTGGGGCCCCCTCCCCTCAGCACAGCGAGGACGCCAGCTGGCCCTCCTGGGTCCTGCTTCTCAGCGCCCAGGACAGCATTTGTGCCACAGGCAGCTCTCCCACCTAACGGAGCTCTGTGTCTCCAAGGCTCATTTCAAGTGGCTTCTGAGGTCCTGGAGAGAACTGAGCTGCGGGTCTCAGCAGGTCATGCAGCCCCGATGCCTCAGTTTCCTCATCCATAAGATAGAACTGATAATGGCCCTCAGAGCATCCTGGCGGGAGGGGGAGGGTGTATGTTAGAGGAGTCCCTACATAATAAAGCACCTGAACAGCTCCTGGCACTGAGTGTTCACTGGAAGCTGAGGAGGGAGGTGGGCGAGCTCACCAGGTCCCATCGCACATGACAGGGCAGCCAGCTGTCACAGGACAGAGTGTGATGCTAAGGGCGTCTGCACTTAGGAGGGATGGGTGTGCTTTTTGGATGACTGGACAAAGGGATACGAGCTCGTCTGTTACTCCCTCAAATACTCTCCCACGAGACAGGCTAGGTCAGGAAGAAAACAACCCCCAATGCTTCCAAAGGATGCCGGGGAGCCACCAGGATGTCAGACATCTATACCTGCTATACCTTGAAACAGCATGCACTTCTTCATGTAACCTGGCATGCACTTCTCCATGCAACCCGCATGCACTTCTCCATGTAACACACATGTACTTCTCCATGTAGCACACATGTACTTTTCCATGTAACACACATGTACTTCTCCATGTAACCCGCAAGCACTTCTCCATGTAACACGCATGCACCTCTCCACGTAACACATGTGTACTTCTCTATGTAACACACATGCAATTCTCCATGTAACCCAGGAGTCAGAAACACTACCCTGTCATAACTGGACCCTGTTTCTAGGGCGACGCACTCACTGAGGATTTGGATCTGCTGTATAAACTCTGACCTCATCTTTTATGGTAGAGCAGGATGGTAAAAAAAAAAAATCAAACACTCCTAATACACACGATACTTATTATCTTCTTAAGTGATAGATGTTGTCCTTTACTAGTAGGTGTATGTGCACGAAAAACACAAAAATAGAAATTTTAAATAGATGAGATAAAATACAGTTACTATTTTCTTCTATCCTGAGTCTTTTACTTTGAAAACCTTGTTATAACCCAGGTACCCGCGCCTGGAGACTCAGAGCGAGTCTGAGCGGCTCCGTGAACATCATAAACACAGTCGTTACATCATGTAAAGGAGGGTCACTTCTGGGGAGGGTCACTGCTGGGGAGAAGCTTCTCGGAGCCCCTGGCAAAGGTGAGCAGCGAGGACCATGAATGTGAAACCAACCTTGGTCCTTCTGTCTTCCTGGGATGTGGGGGTGGGGGCTGCTGTGGTGGGACTGAGCCCACCCTAACTCGAGCTGTCATTTCCCTTCATGCTGCTGTCCTAGGTGAGTCTCTGGGGAGATTCTGAATCTGAATGGGATTCTTCTTTTTTTTTTTTAAAGATTTATTTATGTATACAAGAATGGGGTACAGGCCATAGGTGCGGGAGATAAGAAGATTCACCAGAGACAGAGTGGGGAGCAGAACAGGCAGACGGACTGAAATACACTGCTGAGGGGAGCAGCAGGCGAGTCAGGAGAGGTCTGCTGCACCATGTGGGTAGCCCCTGGCTGGGGATTGAACTTGTGCTGCAGTGGCCACGGAAGCTTCATAGGTTGCATCTTAACCCCTTGCGCCACCAAGGAGGCCCTGAATGGGATTCTATTTTGATGCTCAGCATCAAATGCTCACGGGTTGAAACCAGAGCACACATTCTTGGGGGCAATTGTGAGTGATTCAACCCTCTCTTCCCTGTGCCACAGACATAGCACTTCTGTGCCCTGTGAAATGCTTCATGGGTCCGGTGGGTCCAAGGAGCCTCACAGTGGTGAGGGATTTCAGGTGTGCACACACCAATCCCCACCCAATAACTTCCTGGACAACAGGATCATTTGCCGTAAATGCCTCCCATTAGGTCCAGGAACCTGGAGACAGTGACTTTCGGATGACTCAAAGCTACCCACAGAGCCTGGCCTGGCTGAGTTCAGGCTGCAGTGTCCTTACAGAAGAACCAGCTTATGTGTTTTTTTCCTCTGGGAAAAATTGACTTTTCACACCCTGCTCCTCCCCCTCTTTTTACATGATGCGATGGTTACGTTCATGATAAAGAATATTCAAGTTCTGACATCATAATTCATAACCAGGGGGATTACTCATGACAAGCTTGCAGTCTGGCGAGGCACATTCTGTACCCTCTCTATCACTGAAGTCAGCAGTGGGTTTAAAAATAGCATTGCTCACACCCAGGGTACCACTGATTCATTAAGGGCTGAACAAACACTATTCTGGACAGTCCCCTCCCTCTTATATTATTCTGGACAGTCCCCTTCCTTACATATGGCTTCCAGATTGAGATGTCCAGAATTGGGGTGCAGCCCCAGTGGGGTGTTAGGTGGTGCTAAGTCACAAATAAGAGACCCGCAGATCCTAGATGGAACCCTCAAACATTACAAAACCCGGACTCAATATGTCATCTCACTTGTGACTCAAAATGATCATCTTAAAATGCAATGATCAAGAATATCGATTAACTTGGGGACCATAATATGCTGAACACACCAGGGTCAAGAGGAATGATGTTACAACAACGTGGCATGTTATATATGACACCAAGAATTTTTCATTGTCAAGGGGGCAAGAAGGTTGATTCTAGATGCTTAATTCAGGCTCTTTAGAGAGAAATGTCCCTAGAGTGGAGAGTGTTTTCATAATTTAGAGATGCCCTTAAGAGGACATGAGGCTGTTTGGGCAAATTCTGTGTTGGGCAGGCAACCCTCATCTCTACTGGGATCCAGGAGAGGCCCTATGACTAAGGTAAATGCACCCCACACCTCCCTGGGATGCAAGGATTATCTCTCTCTAAATGATTCAGACGGCACACTCAGCCTTCTGGAGATTACTTAGAATGAATCAGTCCTGCAGAAGCCTTGAAGACTCAACAAAGTCAAATATCCAAATCTGCATGAGGAGGATTCCAGAGCCCTGGCGAGTGTCCAGAAGCACCTGCAGAGTGCTCTGTGCTGGCCGAGCGGCAGGAAGCCACGGGCATTGTGAGAGACGCGCTGCTTTTCAAGAGGCCAACATGCCGAGGTGGTGACCACATGAGGCAGTCATAGCTGAAGAAACGGTGTAGGGTTCCCAGGGAATACGGACATGGAAGAAAGCACCCCAAGAGGAGGAGGGGGTAAGCTGTGGAACAGAGGCCAGCGCGTCAGCACGTCGGAAGCCACGCGTGGAGGTGAAGCTGTGCAGGCCATCTCCCTCCCCCGGGACACGGGACAGTTTGCCGACACAACATGAAAATGAGATGACTTAGGATAAAACAAACAGAACCCATCTGAGGGGGCACAGGAAGAACAAAGACGCAAGACCGCAGCTGAGGGCTTGGGAGGGAGGAGAGGAGGGCGTGGGAGACGCTGGCTCCGACGGGGAATGCACCGGCCACCCTGGAGGTGTCTGTGACAGAAGATCCTGAGCAGAGGGGCTTGGTCAGTGGGGAGCAACCTAAAGACCCTCAGCAACTGGAAGTCACGGTGACAAGTGACAAGTGAAGGGAAGGCTGGTGCTCGGGGGCCCTTGCTGACGAGCAGAGGCCGGGGGTGGCCTGGCCTGGGTGTTCCCAGCGGGCAGCAGGCCCACTCATCAAGGTTGCATCCAGGGCATGGCAGCTCTGCATGCACTTCTCAGTGACACCTGCAAGGTCTGCGCGACCTGCAACTCAGTCAGCTCTGGGACAGGTTCTTTGAGCACTGAGTCCGGTGAGGAGGTCCTCCGGGCAAAAGGGGGGTTACTCTCAGGTATCATAAAACCGCAGTTCCTAGGCCGGGGTTCCAGGAGGGGCAGGGACCTGCAAGCCTCCAGGAAAAGCAAGGAGCTCCTGGGTCAGCCAATCAAAACGACTGGGCCAATTCGGGCGCCTCTTGCGACATAGAAGATACTCATGAAGAACATCCGAATGTTTTCCTTCCAATGGCTGTGAGAACATTCTGGTTCTTCCACCAGCATCAAATACACTCAATTTACTCCTGCACTTGAGACGCGGGACCCAGTGTTGAAAGTCCACTCTAAGTCCATTCAAAAGGTGGCGAAGGGCAGGGACTTTGCGGGGGCCGTCCTGCTCCTGCGGCTCTCAGCTGCCGCCTGTGGTCTTGACCCTGCCCGCCAAGCCCTTTTCATTCTTTTTTAGTTAAGCAGAAAAGGAAGCTATCAGCTCCATTTCCACTCTCTCTGCATGAATCCATTTCCCTTTTCTTTCTTGGCTCAAGCGATAAGGCTCAGACGGGATCCCCACTGAGTTTTTCAGCGATTCTTACCTTGCTAAATGTTTTTCTCTTCTAGGAAATGCTGAATCAAAATAGAAGGTGGGAGAAAGTAGGAGAATACATTCCAAGGGGCAAATGGAAATAGAAGAAAGGTAAAAGAATAAGCCTGTCGATTTCTCTTCTGCCAGCTTTTACTCGATAAAATGCTGAGAGTGAATGGGGGTGCGGTAGGGTGCGGGGTAGGGGGGGGGCGGGGGGGGTGAGAGCCTCTATGGAAGTGAAGTCAGCAATCCAGGAATCTGGTCTCCTCTTACTCAGGCCATAAAATCCCACTAAGTTGCCAGGAGTGTCCTGCAGGACAAGCTCAAACACTAGTTAGCTCAAAAGTGGAAGGGACTCGGCAAACTATTCTTGCCGTGGCCCTGGCCTGGAGCACAGTGAGCTGATGAGGCTGGATGGGCAGCGCTTGCTTGGGATGGGGGAGGCAGCCCAGGGCCCCAGGACCAGCATCCATACACCCCAGTGTGGGAGCCTCCTCCCTGCCCCTTGGGTCCTGGGCCAGGTGAAGAGCTTCGGGGCTACCAGATCACCGCAGCCACAAACCAGAGAGCAACCTAGGATCAAGGCAAGCCTTTTTTTTTTTTTTTTTAAAGCTACAGGTTACAATTTGGGAAAAGTTATCAGAACAAAGAAAAACAGTGGGATGGCTGGGGTGGCTGGTGTCCTTTTTCTCCCAGTAACTCTTCCCCACTGATGCACAGCGGAACCCCATCCACTCAGAGCTGGGGTTGTAACAGGGTGGTCCCCAGGAAAGGGGGAGGTTCCCTGCCCCACCCAAGGGAGGGTGGAGCTGAGCAGGAAGAGGAGAAGCTGCAGAAGAGACTGAGGAAGGAGCAGGATGGAGCCAGGAGACCTGGAGGAGGCGCATGGAGCCTAGAGACACGTGAAGAAACTGCGCTTGTCTTTGGGTCATGGACTGGGTGACACAGATGTGGGTGAGACCCGTGGGGAGGTGACAATGGCAGCTTTTATCTTGATGTTGATTTTGCTCTTTTCCTTCCGGGCTTGTTTGGTTGTTTCTGACTCTTTTCTGTGGGTCCCCACTGGAAGGTGCTTTAGACTTGTGGCAGGCTTTGGGGCCTTGCTCTGGGCCAATCCCATATGGATGGACTTTTACCCACGAGGGGACGGGTAACTGTGGGTGCTTCATTTAGAAACTGGACTCTTTGCCTTACCTGCATTGTTTCCTAGTTGTATTACAGTTCCTTCCCATTAAAGTCTCCTATGTTTTGTGTTGATGTGGCGGATGGCAGAACCCATTTAGAATGGGCAGGTTTGCGGGCCTTGGGCTGCCCCTTTCCCTGCCCTATAACAGGGTCAGTGCCAAGGGGCGGAAGCTGCCCTGTGAGTTGTTCAACCAGGGACCCCACACCAACATCGCTCTGGGCGATAGATAGGGCGACAAGGGGCCCTGGCACACGAGTCCCAGAAAGGGCCCTGGTCATGGAGGGCCCCAGTGAAGGAGCCCCTTCAAGTCATGGACTAACTGTTGAGGCCAGACTGGGCTCCAACCAGGCAGGCTTGGGCCACAGGACAGAAAACCTCGTTCCAATAGGGGTGAGAACTTGCTGGGTCAACAAAGCTGGAGTGGGAAATGTGGGTGAGATGAAAGTGCTGAATCAGTGTTAGCAGGGTCACGTTCTCTCAAACTGGTCACTGTGCTGAGCGAGGTGGGCGAGCACCCCCTTCTAGAACACACAGCATGCGGGCAGGTGTGCGCCCACCTGCTCTGGGATGCAGTCAGCTCTCTGTAACCTTCGGGCCAACTTGGCTGCTAGTAGCACAGGTGGCTCCTGGGCCCGGGAAAAGGTGCTGGTGGGACCCAGAACTGACTTGTATGGATGATTTCATTTTAATTTTATAGCCTCTCGTAGCTTGTAGCTATGGTACCTAATGGTGTGGCAGTAAAGGGCCCTACCCTCAAATCACTCTGGAAAAAAAAAAAAGCACTTGTACCTATATATACTTCCATCCAGAGAGACGTCCATAAATACATATGTGTATGTCCACACACATGTGGCCACAAGAGCAGCGTGGAAGCAAGAGATCGCACAGGCAAGTCATAAAGCAAACGGGCTGACAAGACAACGGGTGACTCCGGTAAAAGACAAGGGGTTATTCTTTGTATTAGTTTTATTTTTGCAAATTTTCAGTAAGTGAAACATGTTTTCCAAATAGAACTTTTCAAAATGTATTTATTCATTCCTCACTGATGTCTAACCCCACGGGTCCTGCTGGAACTGATTTGCAGATCGGGTTTGGGAGGGGGAAGTTCAAGGTTTTCCAAACTTTGGAGCAAATGCTACGATCCCACAGGGCACGCCACTTGCCCCAGGAGCGCGTGGAGCAGACCTGAGCTAGCGCCGCTGCCCACGCGCCCATGGACTTTCTCATCTCTTCTCCCTTGACCCCTTGCCGGTATGTGTCCGTAATGGATTTGACAGCGCTGGCAAGTTCCGGGCAGTCTTGTAAATAACAGCTTTGCGGACACATAGCTCACACGCCACACAGTGGCCCGACTAAAGCGCAGGGGGTCCGTGGCTTTGATATACGCAGTATGGTCTCAGCCAAAGCATTTTCCTCCCTCTGAACAGAACCCCACGCCCATCCACACGCACCCCCAGAATCCCCCTCGCCCCTCCCCCCCAACCCCTGGCCACCTCTCATCTACTTGCTGCTTCGGTGGCTCTGCCTATCCTGAATGCTTCACACACACGGAACCACTGACTTGGGGGCCTTTTGTGTCTGGCTTCTCTCACTTAACCTAATTTTATTGAGGGTTCATCCGTGTTGTCTGCACTTTGTTCCTTTTTATTGCCAAGTACTATTCCACTGACGGCTGCAGAGCATGCCCATCGGCCAGTGGACGCTGGGGTCCCGAGCAGGCCGCTCTGATTTCCTGCTCAGGTGTCCATGTGGACAAACGTCTGGACACCGGGAGCGGGTCCAGTGCAGGTCATGTGGTGAAGCTAACCTTTTCAGGAACTGCCACCCGTTTTCTGGAGTGGCTGCCTGGAGTCCTCAGGAATCGCGCCGTCAGGGACCCAGCTGCCGGTTGTGGTTCTGTGAAGTGCTCAGTCCACATGCACAGCAGGAGTCGGGTTTGTTTGACTCGGAAAATAAACGAGTGGAGCTGTGAGTGGTGGGGCGGGCGGCACGCTCGGCCTGGCCTGGCCCCCGAGAGCAGCCGGCACCTGGCAGGGCGGACGGGGTCTGGCACCCCACGTGCCGGTGCCACATGAACGGTGCCACATGAACGGGCTCTCTGTGCGCAGCGCAGCTGCAGGGGGAGGCGACCTGGCACGCTCTCCACTGCCCCCTCACCCCGGCCAAGCTGTCCGTGCTGCTGGTCAAAGCCCCGGATAGGGTTATTCACTGTGGCCCACATATCGGGCTCCTCAAAATGCTGGCCCAGGAACTGGCAGAAGGAAAGCTAGGGAGGGTGAGGGCCCAGGAAATGCAGAGAAAGCAAAGATGGCACCAGACGGGCCCTGTGCTGTTTTCTGGGGTGAGGCTGATAATACGCGCAGGGCCTGCACCCCAAGGCAAGTGGGGCTTTCTGCACAGGCCTGGGGCGAGCACAGCCCCAGATTCACATTAGGGGCTCAGACTAAGCTCCCATGTATGACTGCGATTCCACAGCTACCCAAGCAAGTTTTGAGGTGGTGGGGGGGTGGGCTGGTGCGGTAGGAAAGATTTCTGCAGAGAACAGAGGAGAGCCGGTCATCAGGGCTGTGTCTTATTCACCGGCTCCCTTCAAGGCACTGGGGAAGCCTTGCTTCATCACAGACCCAGGGCGGCCTCGGGCGCCGGCTGCCCTCACCCCATTCTCTAGTGATGCTGCCTTCGTCCTCCACTCTCCCACCTCGGCACCTTTGTGGCCAAACCTTTCAAATAAATTGTGTTGCTCAGGCAGACAGCTCAGCTGCCTGTTAGTAAAGAAAGCTCGACCACTTTTTTGTGTTGTGGGTGGAGAAGAGGAAGACAGGTGGTCTGCGGTCCCGCGTGTCCCCCACGGACAAGGCTGTCCCCCGGCGCCAGCTAATCTCCACATTCGAGCCTGTCCCCACCTCGCTCTCCACTCAATCCCACGGGTGTTTAGCTCCGGGAATCACCCCTATTTCCAGTGCACCTGTCCCCTCAGTCACCATCCACTAAATACCAATTGTGATCATCATTTTTAAGAAATGTTACCTATTCTATTTGCCTGGGTACACTTACAATCTTTTTGTTGTTGTTAGATTTTAAGAAGAATATTTTAGCAAAATATAATTGTATTTCATACTCGATGAAAAGTCATTAGTAATTCTGATACAAAAAGATAATAGGGGCCTCCCTAGTGGCGCAGGGGTTAAAGACAGTGCTATCAAGCTATCCGCAGCCACTGCAGCCCGAGTTCGATTCCCAGCCAGGGAGCTACCCACATGGCACAGCAGACCTCTCGTCTCGCCCGCTGCTCCCCTCAGCATTTCAGTAGAAATTCCCTCAGGATTTCAGTAGATCCGCCTGTTCTGCTCCCCACTCTCTCTGGTGAATCCTCTCAGCCCCAGTACCTCTGGCTTACACCCCAGTTCTTGTATGCATAAATAAATCTTTAAAAAAAACCCATAAAGATAATAAGTTAATATTTGGCATATGAGTTTTGGGTGACTTCACGATATGTTTGAGTTTTCTAATAGAATATAAAATACACACTATTTTAGAGTCCCTTTTTGGTAAGTATTTTATAAAATGACTTTTTTCCTTTTGTATTACTTTCTATGTTTTAACTTATATTCCTTCTTGAGGACTGCTATCATCCAAACACTTATTTTCCCACTGTATTATTTATGTTTTTATTGAGGTAACATTGGCCTGCAATGCTGCGTATGATTCAGAGGTGCAGGTCCTCCCTTCTTCAGATGCCTGCACCCTCTCCGTGCCTATCCATAACCATCATCCTCATGAACTCTGGGCGTCTGAAATAGGCTTAGCCTATCAAAATCACAGATGACTGGGCCTGGCACTTGATATGATGAGAAAAGTCTGAGGAAATGAAGATGTGAGCAGAGACTTGAGCTTCCACATAGTAGCATCTCATCTAATCTCACAACAACACCGTTGTGAGATTACTATTAATACTATTATTCTCACCCACCAAGAGAAGAAAGAGACTCTGAGAGATTAGCCATGCAGGGTCCCCAGGTAATAAAATGCTAGAACCAATGTTCAAGTGCATGTGGAATTACCCTAAAACTTGCATGTTTCATTGGTAGTGTAAGTGATAACGTTTAAACATCATATACCCTTATTCAAGCATGATATGTTCTTTTTTTTTTTTTTGTAAAAAGAACAAGAGCAGGAGCTAGAAAAGTTGGTTTCAGTCTGGTTTTGTGTTGACTTTGAGCAAGTCACTTAATATATCTGAATACTGGTCTCCTTGCCTATAAAGATAAGACTTTTTCCCAAGTGTGCTTCAGTTCATGTCCTGTGAGCTATTCACACTTATTATGGAAAAGGAATAAAGAATATTTGAGGTCCAAATAGTTTAAGAAGTGTTGGGTTGAGTCAAATAAGCTGCTGTTCCTTTTGCAGGACTTCTCAGAGCCTTTAATCCCCTAATACCTAGAGGGAATCTTCACAGGAGACTTCACCATAGACTCTGTGGTCGCATATTTATTTATCCAAGGAAAAGCTCCCTTCCCAACCCCTCATACAAAGCATTTAATGGTTTTTGGTCAGGACAGGAGGTGGGGAAATATTAGATTGGATTTCCTTAAGGAAGCTTCTAGTGCAAACAGTGAGAGATTTTGTGATTTATCTCATTCTTTCAACTAGACAACATATTTCTGAAGGTAGCCCGCAATTTATATGAAGCCAAGAAGATGGCAGCCTGGTAGAGGCAGGTTCAAATGCTCAGAGGAGCAGAAGGAGGTGGAGAGAGAGAGAGGAGGGTGGGAAGACACATGGACAGACGGCTCCACTATTTCTGCCCAGTCGTTCCAATGAAGGGATGACCCATCTAGAGGCACCTCCTACCCTGTCCATTGCAGTTGGCCTGCCTTTGTCCTCCAAAGCAGATCTCCTGGGCATTAAAGAGATTTTTTAAGCTTTCCTGATCGACTGATGAGGAGGAATCAATAACATCTGTCCATAATCCTTCAAACCCACACGCAAGGCAAGGCCAAGTCTCAGGGCAGACCTGTGCCTGGCAGTTGCCCCGCTGGTGGCGATGCGTCTCTGGGGACAGTTCAGGCTGGACAGCCCTGGGCACCTCTTCCCTGATGAACAGGAAGAGCCCTGACTGAAGATCTCCTGAGAGGTTTCTGGGAGGGGCAGGAGACCCCACTGGGCCTGGAGGGATGGTTTGGTTTTGAATGGACAGAAGGGGAAGACAGAGAGAGCACAGGAGGTTGGTGGATGGAGAAAGAGGGTGGCAGGTCTCGGGGACAGAGAGACAGGTCTCAGAACAGAGAATAATTTCTAGGTCCTCTCAGTAGCTTCAAGGGTTTCTCATAAAAAACTCCCTTCTCTTTAAAAGGGACCCATGATTTTCCTTTGGACATTTTTATATATGACTTAAAGTTGCCAGATCATTCTTGGAAAATGTGTCACTCATCTGGGCAGTGGTGCCGGGGAGAGAAGTCACTGTTGTCAGATACACCTCCACGGGGCCCCCAGCCCCTTGTCCAGAAGGCCACAGTGCTGGAGGGAGGACACCCTGGTACAGCAGTGAAGGGGGGGGGGAAGCTGCACAACCCCCCTTAGTCCTCCTTCTGGAAAAAACAGGAGATATAAGTAGCCACTGCCCCCCAGGAACCCAGCCAGAGCTCATATCCAAGCTCTCCCCTGCTGCTCCAGGTTCCAGATTCGGGCTCCAGGATCAGAAGGGCTTGGGATAGGACAGAGGGTAGATTGAGGACTCAGGATACTGGGGATTCACTCTGGGTAATTAGTTCTACAGGTCACCTACAATGTTTTAGACTGCAGTGAGCAGCCTGGGAAGAAGACCCAACATCGACTATATGCCTATTTAAACACCAGACGGGGTACAACTTCACCCGCTTTTTAAAATAAGCAAAGAATTTGCAGAGATCTTTCTCCAAAGGAGATAGACAAATGGCCGATAAACCCACGAAAAATGCTCACCGTCATCTGTCATTAGGGAAATGCAAATCAAAACCACCACGAGATCCCCAGAGAATTGAAAACATATGTCCACACAAAAACATGCACACAAATGTGCACAGTAGCGCCATTCCCAAGAGCAAGTGGAAACTGCCCAAATGTGTAGCATGTGACGGACAGGTAAACAACAGTGACCTCGTCGTACAAGGGAGTATGACGCAGACATAAAAAGGAATGAAGTGCTGATACAGCCTACAATGTGGATCAACTGTAAGAACATGATGCTAAGCACAAGACGGCAGACACAGGAGAGCAAATATTGTAGGACTGTTTATGTGAAACGTCCAGGATGTGCAAATCCGTGGAGACAGGGAGCAGATGAGAGGTTGCCAGAGGCTGGGGGAGGGGAGTGACTGCTCCTGAGTGCAGGATTTCTTTCCAGGGTGATGAAAATGTTCTGGAACTAGACAGTAGCTATCAATGCACAGTTTTGTGAATGTACCAAAACCAACGACTTGTATGTTTCAAAAGGATAAACTACATGGGACGTGAATTATAGCTCAATGAAGCTCTCTTGAAAGCAGGTACAGTGGCGTAGATGCTTGATAATGCTGCCCTCAATGAGCCTGTGATGTGTGCCATCGTCCCTTTGTGCAGGTGAGAACACTTGCGGATCAGCAAGGACCAGCTCATTGCCAAGAGTTGCATGGCCGCCACGTCGGGGCGAGGATTTCACCTCGAGCCGCTGACTGCAAAGACCCAGCTCTGCCCAAGCTGCTTCTGGCCAAGGTGATAAGCAAACCCGCAACTGCAGAACGATTCCTAGGGAAAAACAGCACCCCTTGGACAAAGAATTGCTGATTGACACAAAATACAAGGATTGGAGGTCAAGTTCAAGGGCACCTTGCCAAGTCCCTTCAATTTACAGATGAGTAAGTGGAGCTTCCAGCAGCCAACTGACCTGCCTGACCAAGGTGGCAAGGCCGGTGGGCTCGCCTGCACCTCGTTCTGCAGAAGACGAGCAGGTGTATTAGCCACTGCCGCTAGTTAGGAATTAAAAGGGAGACAGGGTCGCCCAGCTGGGGCGTGCAGGGCCACAGGCATTCACCAGCCTTCAAACATGCCAGCAGCACATCCAGACCCAGCCAGGAGATCACTAAAGCCGACGACAGCTCACATTCCTCTGCAGCATCCCCGAAATGTCTCTCACGACCCCAGGAGTGCTCTGAAAAGTCCCACCAGGGTGCGCCTGTTCCCAGGATCCCTCGGGAGCTTTTGAACTACTTGGCAGGAAGGGATGGGGAGTTCTGGATTTAGCATTCAAGTGTGAGGATAAAGGCTGGGGAATTAAGAAACTTCCCTCCTCTCTCCTCTAAAGGGACTCAATGGGAGACCACTTGAGAAGGGAAGGGCGGGAAAGCTGCCGCCCCAGGAACACCCACTGGGGCGTGTGGGGTCTTGAGGACTCTGTGCTGGGGATCTTTTTAGTGCCTGCTGGACGTGTCCATGGGGCTGTCCGGTCTCACACCTAACACATCCCAAATCAAGTTCATTCCCCTGTTCCGCTTCCCACCAACCTACTCCTCCTGAGGGAGTCCCTGTCTCCTCCAACTGTTCCATCATCACCATTCTCCAAGCTCAATACCCTGATCACCTTGGCCCTCCTTTGCCCTCCTGCCCTCCTTCTGCAGCGGCCGGCAGTGCCGGGGCTGCTGGCTCTCCCTCCTCAGGCCCTGGAGGGCCGGAGTCCACCTCCTCCCTTGCCTGCACAGTGCAAGCACTGTCCTTGATGCAATAAATGTTTACTGGATCCAGAGGTCAATCCCACCCACTACTAGCTAAGTCCTTCACAGCAAGTAGCAGCCAAGATTATTTAAACACAGAAACAGAAAAAGAGAAGAGGGCTGACCTCACGCGAATGGGTCAAAGAGAGGATATTAAATAAAAGCTCGAGCCAGGAAGAGCGGAGCAGATGGGGCTGTGAGGCTCCCTTCGCGTGTGTTCTGCCGGAACGGAAAGGCACACCGCGAGGCCGGGGCTGCAGGCTGCATCTACAAATTATTAATTATTTCAGTGTCGTCCCTCTGCCCTCCCCATCTGCTGGCGGTTACCACAGTCAAATAATCACAGGCAGATCGAAAAACCTGACCTGTCACTTGCTCCAGTTCATACCAAGTTAGGCCCCCAACGGGTCCCTGCGAAGCCTGACACCAGCACCCAGAGCAACCTCGGACTCCCGGGCGCCAGGCCCACCCAGGCCGACCTGCAGAGACAGGCCAAGGAGGGGGCGCGCTCGCGGGGTACACGGGCCTTTCTCCTCCAGCCTCTCTCACAGCGCTCAGCACGGATCACCTGGCTTCACTCCACAGCTTCACTTCATCTTGCAGAAGCTTGTGTCGGGTGCGCGCATGTGGCCACACCGCGGGAGCGAGCATTCGCTGCTGTGCGTGGTGGCCACTCACGTGCAGATGCCCCAGGCCTGCGGGGGGCTTGTGCTCGGGTCCAGATACCAGACGTGCGGAGGGCTGGCGAGCAGGTCTGCCTCGACCTTCTCTCTCCCCTCGAACTATAATAAATCCTCGGCCTTCCAATGGCAGCTGACACCCACCTGCTGTCCGCGTGCCCAGGAGAGCCCCTTTCCGTCCACCCATCCCTACCCGCTAGGGCACAGGGAGAGGCAGGCGCCCTTCTGACTGCAGCCTCTCCACCATTTGTGTCGGGATTTAGAAATCATAAGACGCGCTGGACCATTTACTTCTCTGTGAAATCACAATGATAACTACGTGGAGTTGGGAAAAGCAGTAATTTTTAAATTATACCGGGCACCGAGCCAAAGCCAGTGGGGACACAGTGACAACAGTCATTTGTCCAGGGCCGGGCAGGACACTCCCAGGGTCTGGTTCTTCTTCAGAGAGAACCCGCATCTTGTCATGCTAGGTTGGGGTGCCAGGTTAGACTCTGAAACATCCCACCTGCCCTTTGGCCAACACAGCGCCCTACACCCGGCTGCGCAGCGCTGCCATGGGTGCAGAGGGGTGCGGGACAGAGAGCCGGGTCAGGTCCTGACTTCACTGGCGGGCAGCCCCTCCTCCCCAGCCCAGGCAGGCGCCCCTCAGG